ATGTTTCTCTCTCATTGATCCCTCTCCCTATCTCTATCCCTCTCCGTTTCTCTCTATAAAAAGTCAATAAAATATATATATATTTAAAAATACAAGTATTTTTCTTTTTTGATTACCATTCTGCCTAGAAAACTTTCTTTAACCATCCTCCAAGTGTAGGTTTTCTAGCAACAAATTCTCTTCATTTTTCTCCATTTGAGACTACCTTTATTTCCCCTTCATTCCTGATTTTTTTGTTACTGGATACAGGCTTTCCAGTTGACATCGTTTTTTCTTTTTAGCACATCCTTTTGACTTCTGTAGTTTCAAATAAGAAATCTGATGTTATTTAATTTGGTTTTCCCCTCTACGTAATGTGTCATTTCTCTGTTTGCTTTTAAGGGTTTTGTTTTTGTTTTTGTTTTTGTTTTGTTTTTTGGTGTGTTTTTTTACCTTTTTCATAAGTTTAATTATAATGTGTTTGGTGTGGATTTATTTGGACTTACCCTATTTGGGTTTACTTAGTTCTTGAATCTGCATGTGTAGATACTCATTTCACTATTTCTTTGGGAACAGTACTAGCCTTGCTTCTCCATTTTCTCTCAGTCTCTTTGCTTCTGGGTGGCTGTGGAGGTTCAGCTTTCTGACCATACCAGGAGTGATGGAAAGTGGAGTGCTGACTAGCTCAGTCTCATTGATGCTGGGTCAAGATGAAAGTTAAGCTCTTCATTGAGCTCTTCCATCTCACTTGTAAGAAGAGGGGGGTGAAGCAGAGTGGTTATTAGCCCCTCCTCCAACAGTCTCTTTGTTGTCAGCTATGGGTAGAGGCTCTGCTCACCCTGGTATTACAATGAGGCCACTCCTGCATGGGAATCAGGCTACAAAACCTGCTTCTGCCTTACTGAGAATGGAAAATCAGCTTTCCACTTGGTCTCACTGAAAGAGCTGGGGTGAGGAGAGGTAGGGTGGTTTTTCTTTAAGTGTTTGGCTCAAGTAAGATGAATATTGCAAAAAAGATTCCCCACCTGGCCAATCAGTGTGGTTCAGTGGTTGAGTATGAACCCATGCACCAAGAGGTCATGGGTTTGATTCCCTGTTAGGGCATGTGCCTGGGTTTGTTTACAATAGGAGGAATACAGGAGGCAGCCAATTGATGTTGATGCTACTTTCTCACCAATGTTTTTATCTCTCCCTCTCCTGTCCCCTCTCTCTAAAAAATCAATAAAATGAAATAAATTAAGGTTCCTTGTTGTTAGTTCTCCCTTTTCCATTCTCTTTGCCTAGAAGAGACAGACTTTTCTTGGAATTTTTTTGTTTGTTTTGTTTTCTGGATTTTTTTTTTTTTTTTGTGTGTGTGTGTGTGTGTGTGTGTGTGTGTGTTTGTTTGTTTTTTTACCTGTGCTTGTTAAAGGTTGTGGTTTGGAGCTTCTGCAACTCCTTGTCTGGGATATATGGGATACAATAAAGAAACTCAGGGAACCCACCATCCTGTCTTTTCTCAAATTATGAGATCCTTACTCTTTCCACCACTCAGAGACTTCATTCTATTTGTTTGCTGTGCTATGTCCAGGGGATGTTTTAGTGATAGGAGTGAAGGCCTGCAAGGGGGGGCAGTTAGGAGTGACCAAGCCAGCAGAGGAGGGAAGTTGGGGGCGACCAGGCCTGCAGGGAAGGGCAGTTGAGGGAGACCCAGGCCTGCAGTGGAGGGCAGTTAGGGGCAATCAGGATGGCAGGGGAGCAGTTAAGCATTAATCAGGCTCGCAGGGGAGTGGTTAGGGGGTGATCAAGCTTACAGGCAGAAGTGGTTAGGGGCAATCAGGAAGGCAGGCAGATGAGCAGTTGGGAGCCAGCAGTCCTGGATGGTCAGAGGGATGTCTGACTGCCTGTTTAGGTCCCATCCCGATAGGATTAGGATTGGGCCTAAATGGGCAGTGGGACATCCCTTTAGGGGTCCCAGATTGGACAGGGTGCAAGCTGGGCCAAGGGACACACCCCCCCCCCATGCACGAATTTCATGCACCGGGCCTCTAATGAGGTTATATAGTAAAATATAATCAGCTCTATATACTGTACTTAATAGGTACAATTTCTCTGCCTAGGTCACACTCTGCTTTGACCTCAAGCTAATCGTAGCCTCTTTAATTGCTAAAGCTTTCATAATATTCACCTGGATAGGGGTCTATTTTCAGGGTAACCCTTAAGTACACTGAATATGTTAATCTCCTCAACACACCCTTCCCTGACATGGGTGAGAAGAGCCTAGACCACATGTGTCAAACACAAGGCCCGCGGGCCAAATCCGTCCCGCCAGGCCTTGCAATGTGGCCCGCACCGCGCTGTCATCACTGCACTCCGCTGCGTATCCATCACAATGACAGTTTATGACTGTTCAGTAAACCATTCGGCCCGCGATTTAGTCTGGATTTTAGATTTTGGCCCCTTCTCTTATTGAGTTCGACACCCCTAGCCTAGACGAATGTTTCTCAAAGAGTGGTCACAGACCATTTTCATCAAATCTTTAGAGACAGGGTCAAGGTATATACATATTTCTTGGGCTGTCCCTGGGATTTTAATGTACAGGAAAGTTTGTGAAATACTCCTCTACGCTCTCCATGTGTTTTATATATGGCTGCCTCTTTCTGTAACGTCTATTTCCTCCACCCCCACCTGTGAAAACAGAACGCAGGCTCCATGCAACTTTCCCACAATTTCATGTTTATCACAAGTAGCAGATATAACCTTTCTGTTACTATAGGATGAATAAAATGAGGAGGAATTAGTACTGGGGTGTAGGAGAGAGTATTGGAGAGCAATGGAATGCAGCATCTGTACTGGAGTGGTGGGAAGGACTCATGGTTTGTACTTGCAATTTATGCACTTGAGGTGACATTGCAAAAAGGGTGGGGGGAGGTGGGAGAAAATCAGCAAACAGGGCAAGGAAAGAGGGAGGGAAGAGGAAGCAGTAATAAAGTAGCTCCCATGGGCTCCCCAGGTTGATCAGAAAAGTAAAAGCATCTCTCCACGCTCCCACCCCCATGCAGCAGGAGGAGGGGTGAGAGAGCAAAGTAGGTATTAACCACCAGACTTGCCTTGCAAGACCTCCTCACTGTGTAACTGAGAATGCCTGGGTAGGAACATGCCAGTGGGTTGGCTGTCATGAAGCAGAAGAGCAAGGTATGAAAGAAACATGGAACTCCTGAGACCACACCATTGCCCTTACATTTCATGATTGTGTCCCTATGGTTGCTGCTTTCTGGAAAGTTCCTTACCTTCATCTCTGCTTGTGAAAAATCTTGCCCATCCCTCAGGACCTCAGCCCAGGGGAATATGCCCAGACACCTGAGCCTCTGGGACCTAGAGTGGGGACAGAACCTAGAAGCAATAAGAAAGATGATCCTCCCTCAAACTCTTCCTCTCCACTTCCTGGCCACTCAATGTATATCCTACATAATAAAAAGCTAATATGCAAATTGTCCCCTCAACCAGGAGTTCCACCATCAGGCAGGCCAGCCAACCGCCCATGTCCCCTCCTCCTGGCCAGGCTGGCCGGACCCCATCCATGCACGAATTCATGCACCAGGCTCTGAATTACAAAAGAAGCCAGCACCTCCAAGGAACCTCTCCTCTTCAAGGGCAGCCCAACAGGTTCTCAGGGCTCTGCCTGACCAAAGGGGTCCCAGACATCACTCAGGTCAGAAAGTGGGACGCAGGGATCTGTATTTGGAACACATCCCTCAGGACACTCCAATAAGGGAGCTCAGATACTTCAGTTTGAAGTGAAATATATATACACTGAGTGGCCAGATTATTGTGATCTCTGAATGCATAATCATATACATATATTAGAGGCCTGGTGCATGAAATTCATGCACTGGGGGAGAGAAGTCCCCTCAGCTCAGTCTGCACCCTCTCTAAGTCCAGGACTCCTTGGGGGTTGTCCAACTATCAGCTTAGGCCCGTGATCCCTCTTGCAGTGCAGGTCCTCTCACTCCTTACTGCCCACTTGCTCACTGCTCCTTAGCACTGCTGTGGAGGTGGGAGAGACTCCCACCACTGCCGCTGTGCTTGCTATCCATGAGCCTGGCTTCTGGCTGAGCAGTGAATACTGACCAACAGGTGACAGCTCCTGAATTAAGTGCCTGCTCCCTGGTGGTCAGTGTGCATCATAGCTTCATAGCTACCGTTTGGTCGATTTCCATATTAGGGTTTTATTGTATAGGATCTCTGAGGCCCGATGCATGAATTGGTGTATGGGTGGGGTCCAGCCAGCATGTCCAGGGGGAGGGGACATGGGTGGTTGGCTGGCCTGCCTGCTGGTGTAACTCCTGGTTGAGGGGACAATTTGCTTATTAGCCTTTTATTATGTAGGATATACACTGAGTGGCCAGATTATTATGCCTTCAGAGGTCATAATAATCTGGCCATTCATATACATACACATAGACAGACACACACACTGTTTTTAAACTGTTTTAAGACGTCAGCGGGTGGGGGTAGGAGGGCTGGAAAAAAGCTGCTGCAGAAGGAATCTAAGTGGGGGATGGGAGTGTGTGTAGGGGGGTGCTCTCTGCAGCTGCCAACCCCCATCTCACACTAAATTCAAGGTCTAATCTTAATCAAGTGTCTCCCGGGCTGCAAGTACATATTTGTTTCTTTTCCAGACAATTGCCTGAGCTCCTTTTAGCCTCCTGCTTGAGGTTTCAAAATTGTATTTAAGTAAGGATTTGAAAAAAGCTGGTTGGCTGTTGTCCTGAAAGTAGCGAAATATCCCTTGTCTCTTAGTGGAGGGTTCAGGACAGGCACACAAGGCATTGGGCTCATGGCTCTGAGGCCCTCAGTATTTCCCTGCCCAAGAATCACCTCCCCCCTTCCCCCCCACCCACCACCACTACCACCACCCGCTGTGCCTGATTTGCTCTTCCTCCCACCACGTCTCCAGTTCTTTGCTCCCGCCCTCCCGCCCGCCCTCTGCCTCCGCCTCCCCCCTCCAAACCCCCGCTTAGTTCTTTTCCTAGCAACTGCGCTCCAGCCGCACTTCCCGCCCTCGCCTAGCACCGCGCCACAGCTCACGCCTCTGCTTTCCTCCCCGACCCCGCAGTCCCAGCGCTCCTTCCCCAGCGCCTTCCCCAGCACCACCCGCGGTTGCTCCAGACTCCTGGCCCTTGAGAGTTCCTTCCTCCGGCTGATTTGGACGTTACTCCGCCCCTGCGCCACCACGGTCGCCACTCGCCGCCACCGCTGCCTCCGCACCGCAGCCTCCATCACCTCCACCACCCGGCGGCCGCCCCCCAGGGCCATGGAGCAAACAGGTAGCAGGAAGCGGAAAGCGCCCGCCATAGAGGGGGCGGCTGAGGGCGCGTCATCGCCGGGCTCGGCCTCGGCTGCCGGGGAGGGCCCCCCGTTGCTGCCCAAGAAGCCTAGGCGGCCTGCGGCGCGGCGCTCGCTGGTGCCCTGCCTGATGGGCCGCGCGGTGGGCGCGCGGGATCGCTTGGGGTCCCTGGGCTTCGAGGGCCGGCTGCGGGGCTACGCGGTGCAGAAGCTGCCCGAGCTGCTGCGGGAGCGCCCGCTGGCCCTGGGCACCCTCAACAAGGTGTTCGCGTCGCAGTGGCTGAGCACCAGGCAGGTGGTGTGCGGCACCAAGTGCAACACGCTCTTCGTGGTGGACGTGCAGTCCAGCCACATCACGCGCATCCCGCTCCTGCAGGACGAGGGCCCCGAGCCGGCGCAGGCCCAGCCCGGCTGTGGCATCCACGCCATCGAGCTGAACCCCTCCAAGACGTTGCTGGCCACTGGGGGCGAGAACCCCAACAGCCTGGCCTTCTACAAGCTGCCCACCTTGGATCCCGTGTGCCTGGGCGACCGCCAAGGCCACAAGGACTGGATCTTTGCCATCGCCTGGCTGTGTGACAACGTGGCCGTGAGCGGGTCCCGCGATGGCACTGTGGCTTTGTGGAGGCTGGATCCACGCCTGGTCTATGGCCGCACCACGTGGCACAGTGACACGGGGCTCCCCGTGTACACCCACATCCACCCGAGGGTCGTGGACACCATCCCCAGGTCCAGCACTAACCCTGGTAACCGGAAGGTGCGGGCCCTGGCGTTCAGTAGCAAGAACCAGGAGCTGGGCGCAGTGTCCCTGGATGGCTACTTCCACCTGTGGAAAGCCCGCAGCACCCTGTCCAGGCTGCTGTCCGTCAAGCTGCTCTACGGCAGAGAGAACGTGTGCCTGACCTACTGCGACGACCTGTCCCTGTATGCCGTGGGCTCCCAGGCCCATGTCTCCTTTCTGGATCTGCGCCAAGGTCACCAGAACATCCGGCCCATGTGCTCCCGAGAGGGGGGCACTGGTGTGCGCTCACTGAGCTTCCACCAGCACATCATCACCGCGGGCACAGGCCATGGCTCCCTGCTCTTCTATGACGTGCGTGCCCAGAAGTTCCTGGAGGAGAGGGCATCGTCCAACCTGGACTCCTCCCCAGAGCCCTCAGGGAGGAAGCTCAGGCTCACCTGTGGCAGAGGCTGGCTCAACCACGATAACCAGTGGGTGAACTACTTCGGTGACATGAATGAGTTCCCCAATGCTCTCTACACCCACTGCTACAACTGGCCGGAGATGAAGCTCTTTGTGGCCGGGGGGCCTCTCCCTGCAGGCCTCCACGGGAACTATGCAGGCCTCTGGAGCTAAGGATGGCCACTGTGATCTCCAAGGGCCCAGACTTTCCCTCTCATTTTCCTGTCAGGCTGTGTTTGTGCTATTAACTATATGTGGCTTTTGTCCTCTACTTGGAACTGCCCAACTTACCTGTGTTTAGTGTATTAGGCAGAGAGGGGTGGGGAAGAGGGAGAGAGAGTTGTCCTTCAGGCAAACAAAACTTGGCTTTAATACTTTTCTACAACCATTTAACAATTGTTATACCAAGGTTCTGGGCTAATTCTTAGCTGTGTCCTAACTCTTTAAGTCATTTATAAATTCTCTCTAATGCCATGTAGTCAGTTTTACAATTGTGTATCTTTTTTCTTTGTTATCACTATTATATTAATTCTGTTTCTGGTTATTACTCATTCCAAATAGACGGTATATTAAGAACATTTTTAACTGGGTTGGTACATCCGTTCTGGAAAGCTAGCCATAGTTTTATAGCACTTTTCCAATTGGAAACTACATTCCAAGTTCTTATCAACTTTCAAAAATATTCCGTTTGCAAATTGTAGTCTTAGTGTTTATAGTTTGTAAGTTGTTGATGCTGAATGTGCTTTTTAACAAAGTTCATTCTCTTTGAAAAAAAGAACTGTCCTATAATCTTGTTTTTGTAGCAAAATCTCAATTGGTCAGAACACTTTAGGAATGCAAGGGTTCCGCTGATTGAATTTAAAGAATTAAGCTAAAAACCTAATCAATCTTTTTTTTCTTCAACCCGTACTTAAGTTTTTATTACCTGTTGTAAAATAGATAAATGGCAGTGTATTTTTTCACTTCTTGCCTTAGTACTGTCAAAAATTGTGAATATATTTGAATGTTTGTTGTTTAAAGAACTTGCATAGAGTTTCAGTGCCATCATTCAAAGCAGGGATTGTAAGTGTAAAATAGTAAGCTGGGAAGAATGTATACTGATCTAGGTTATAGACTGAATAATTTTTCTGTTGCTATTTTTAATACCAAATATTATATTCGAGCATACTTTAAATTTTCCAATCATACTTAGCAGTTAAGTCACAAGAAAAAACAGAAAGAAGAAATATAAGCTCAATTCCTACTACTGTTGAAAAAGATTCTTAATTTGTAAAGTCCAAATTAATGTTATTTTGTGAATATCAAAGATTCTTATGTAAAGCAGAATAAGTATATTGGTAAAAATAGTGTTGTTATAATCCTCATGTAATAGCATATGTTTTTCAAGGACACAAGATGTTTGTTTCAAGAACTTGAGCTGGTGATTAAATATAAATGAGATTACATGAATAAAAGTACTTTGGGGCTCAGATAAATACAAATTGTAGCTTGTTAGGAAAGCAGGTTGTACTGCTCCCTTTGTGAGAATACTGGAAGTGAGAAGGGAGGTTGGACCTTTCTCAAACCTGGCCAGGTTTTGCTGACCTTGGATTAGTTTTGTGGCGTCTGTTTTTCCTTAAATGTTTTGACATTCAGATGCTGCCTTGGTGTCCATGTACTACATGCTGTTCAGTTGCAAACCTGAACCAAGTAATAAAATGAGCTGTACTGAACGTGAGTTTAGAAATACAGAAAAAAAAGCTTTTGTTTACCGAGATTGTTTTAACAAGTTTATATAGTTCTTATATTAGCAGTGAGATGTATTTGTGTGCATGTGTCTCCAACGCAGTTGCATTTGTCTGGAGAGCAGAGACTATAACTGTCATCTTTATATTCTCTCATGTCTCCACTAATGCCTAGCAAATCATTGGCCACCGGTAAATATTTACTGAACGAATGTGTTTTTTCTCTGGAGATTTAAAGTCCAAGGCTATTAAAAATGAGTAAGTGCATAAATAAATAAATAAATAAATAAATAAAATGAAGTTTTAAATAGTATGGAATCCTGTTGTGTTCCCCCTCCTTTTCTTAAAAAATTGCCCTAATTTATTTCCAGGTCCAGCCATGGTGCTTATCCATTTGTGATACCAGAAGATAAAGGAACACAGATAAATTATAATGGCACTGGAATTTGATATTTTCACTTGCAAATACTTAGATTTGAAGATTTCACTTAATTTTTTTTCATAAATTAGGTTTTTTTAACTTTACTTTTATTGTTGACACTATTACAGATGTCCCCATCCTCCCCTCCCACCACTTTGCCCACCTCCACCAAGACCCCACCCCTTTCTCTCTCACAATACCACACAGTAGTCTGTGTCTAAGGGTTGTGCATATATGTTCTTTGGCTTATCTCTTCACCTTCTTTCATCTAATTCCCTCTCTCCTTCAACAACCGTCAGTCTGTTCTTGTATCTATGCCTCTGTTTCTATTTTGTTCTTCAGTTTAGATTCTACATAAAAGTGAATATCTCTACTCTAATTTGTTCTCTGGCTTGGCCTTTCATTACTGACTCACTCTTAAATTTCTCATAAGTTAGAGTATCACTTTTTAATGCCAAATCACATGCCTTGCCTTTTAAAAAACTAAGTAGCTTAAATATGTATGTATTTGTAATTTGTAGAAACTTAAGTATTTTGAAATGTTTTCTAGTTCAGAGATAAAGTGAGCTATAGAAGTACAAGGAATTGTGTAACCTGTGAGTGTGAAATAATTGAAAATGTAATCTTGCCAGCACTCTTAAGAAGCCCATAAGTATAATTCACTTAACATACACAAGGGAAGGCATATCTTTAGGTATAAATTATCTATCACTGTTGCCTGAAAAAATCTTAGTTGCTTATGACTATGCATAAAAAATGTTAGCTGCCTTTATCTCTAACTACATATTCGTATATTCCTCCCCGAGAATATTGCTAACTCAAAAGTTTATGTTACTCCCCTTTATTCTTTGGATTGATTTCTTTTCTTTCTTTCTTTTTTTTTTTTTTTTTTTTTTTTTTTTTTTTTTTTCCAAAGGGGGAAGAAAAAATTTACTAATCAAGGATGTCCACTGAAATAAATTAAAATGAGTCCTCTGGAAAAAATTAATCTGTTGAATATTGATGATAAGCAAAATAGAATTCTCTAGAGGTTGACTTTTATCCGGCTGTACTCGGTGTTGAGCAAGTTGTCAAAATTTTCCATTAGTTGCTAATTTAGAGTGATTTTAGAAAGCAATTCACAAAGCCTTTCCAGATGTTTTACTGACAGCTTCCTAATCTCTGCAAGTCTTGGGTAACCTAGATACATTAAATAAGCCACTATGTGAGCTGCTCTGGGATGCAGTTCAGTGAGAACAACATGTACTAATGTGAGCGAAAGGCTACATAGACCACAGGTATTTTGCTTTAAGGGATGTTATTTTCAGATGTGCTCACAGGGCTGCCTAAAAGTATTTAGCACTTCTGGCCTGCTGCAAATCCAGAGACATCTACATTGGAGTGTGGCATCAGTGTAAGGGCCATGTGGTTACAGGGATTGCCATGAAAGTCAGAGTCATCCGCAAGAAGGAGGGCTAACTGCTATGTGATTTTTGCATAGACAATGGTCTTGATTTCCCTCTATCACTTTTTTTTAAACTCTCAGTGACAACCCAGACAGAATAAGCACTTAACTTCTTCATGTTTCTATAGTGAATGTTTTCTTATTTTTTAAAATATTTTATTGCTCTTTTAGAGAGAGAGGAAGTGAGGGAGATAGAGAATAGAAACATCGATGAGAGAAACACCATCAATTGATCAGCTGCCTCCTGCATGCCCCCCAAAGGGGATAGAGCCTACAACCTAAGCATGTGCCCTGACCAGGAATCAAACCAAGGGCTTCTTGGTTCCTGGGTTGATGCTATACCAGCTGGGCGTTATTATTTTTATTATAGCATTTATCAGGCTATAGTGCAGTTAACTATGGGAATATCCAATCCCCTCCCTCATTTAAATGTGAACTGTCATCCCGACACCTAGTCCAATAGGCTGCATACATAAGGCACTGAGAAGACCATTTCAATGATTAATAATCAACTCTTTGAAATCAGTTACTTTATCAGATGAGTTGAGCAAAACATTAGGGAATGTAACAAGGATTAGACTGATGGATGAAGAATATACTGAAACAGGCTCCATGGCAGTGATAATGGCAATTCATAGCATAAAAAAATGTGGGTAGGCAACAGAAACTTTGATTACTTAACAGTTTTATAAACAGCTGATACTGGATCTGGAACACCAAAATGAAACAGAATAAATGCTATTTTAGAATAAGAAAAACCTAGCTCTATTATTTGCTTACTGAATAGCCATCAGTGTGTTGCTTAACTTCTCTAAACCTGACCTTATTTTACTGATTGTTCTGTCTCCAACACCTAGTATATTACCTGACACCTATATTATTTGATTATTACAATTTTATAAGGAAATTTTATATGCATTGTGAAAAGTTACGCATACAGAAAAGTGAAATATAAGAAAACAAAACAGCCTAATTTCTGCCAGCTAGACATTACTAATATTAACAATTTGGTGTATATATTGCAATCGTTTCTACAATTGTTTTGTAATCTGCTTTTATTAATTAATAATTACATCTTTCCTATTCAGGATATTTTTAAGGTGCACAGGTTGAAATTTTACATAGATTGTTAGATGCACAACTCCAGCAGTTGTTCCCATTACATAAATCATTAGAATGACATACCAGACATTTAATTCAATGTAAGATTGTATACTTACTCAAACCTCAGGAGTTAATCTTAAACATTTATTATGTAGTGATCTCTGTGTTGATGATTGCTGAATTCAGTGATTTTTCAGACATTGGAGTACATCAGAGCCACTTGCACATATTTTAAAAGTGAGAGATGCTCAAGTCTCAACTCAGACATGCTGAAACTGAATTTCCTTGTGAAAACACCATTTTCTTTCAGTGTTTGCAAATTAATCTCTTCAAAAACAAAATGTAGCAGCAACCACAAAATAGATGATCTTCCCTAGAGGTTTCTAAATGTAGCATTAGATAAAAATATTGATTTATTATTCAATAGTAACTATACAAATTCACTAATGAATTTTAAAAGGTAAATATAGTATTAATGGTATACAAACTACAATGAGAATATGGAGAGAATAGCAATTCTGCCTGGGAAGGTCATGGTTCATTTTTAAAATAGATTAAGGATGGAGAAGGAAAGCTAACATTGTTTTGAAAGTATATTGTGAGTGTCTATACTAACAGCATATATATACATATATATATTACAGTTTGACCTTGTGAAATTTGAAATGCTTGTGGAATATCTAAATGAAAATGTCTGGTTGGCAGTTAGAAATTTGGATCTGGAGCTCATAAAAGAGGTTGGGTTTAGAGATACAAATGGAGAGTCATCATTATAGAAATGGTACTTAGGAGAGATGGGGAAGGGTGTAGTATCTCAGAATTTAGATCTGGCTATCATTCTAAAACCAACCATTATTTAATAGATCTGCATCTGCATTACTATATAACTGACACATAGTAATTAATGATTTGTAGGTAGATGGCCAAATGCAGGTTTTTTTAGTGATTATTAAACACTCTTCAATACTCCCAAGAGTAGTATTTCATTTTTTCATGATTAATTTTTAAATTCTCCCAAATGCAATCACATTAACCAAAAGAACAAAGAGGAAATCTACCCAATGTTACTGTGTTTTATTATTATTTTACTAGAGGCCCAGTACATGAAATTCTTGCACTGTTAGGGTCCCTAGCAGCTGCCAGCTGCCAGCCAGGGCCTCCCTTCCTTCCAGATGAACTCCCAGTTGGCCAGCCTCGGCCCCTGGTCAAACTCTCAGATGAACTCCCAGTTGAGGGAACAATTTGCATACTATACTTTTATTATATAGGATTATTATTTATTATTAACATTAAGAAGGGAGAGTGTTGAATTTGAGACTAGCAACTGAGAGAGCTATTATCCCTTGGTCAGAAGGGAAGAGGGTGGGAAAAGGACCAATCTTGAAAAGGGCATTGGTATGGACAGGGATTCCTACTGTGTTTTAAATAAATAAAGACATTTACACTGAATGGCCAGATTATTATGATGTCTGAACGCATAATGATCTGGCCACTCAGTGTATATCCTATATAATAAAAGGCTAATATGCAAATTGTCCCCTTGACCAGAAGTTCGACCAGCAGGCAGGGTCCCTTCCCCCTGACCGGGCTGGTCAGACGCGCCCCCCCCCCATGCACAAATTCATGCACTGGAATATACATTGAGTGGACAGATTATTATGTGTTCAGAGATCATAATAATCTGGCCACTCAGTGTATATTTTGGTTGGGTGTGTTTTTGCATTCTTTGTAGAATATAGGCCATTCTAGAGTTGGGCAAAAAGGCTAAATATTGATGATACCTTCCTTACAAATGACTTTTCTGTTTTTCCATTTTAGAGGTACAGTTCACTGAAGCAAACACATTGATGATGTCAATGAGAGTAATGGTGCTACTTTCACCCTTTTTAATGCCATTATTGCGCCATTCTCTGTTTCCACCTAAAGCATTAATATTTCATGTTGATTAAATTTTAACATCTAAATTGCCCTTTTATGTTACACACAAATGATAAACTTGAATGTTCCAGTGAGAGGGCAGCAACTTTAGTTTCCTATAGGCTCCTAGGAAACTTACCAAATAACATTGCCCAGCACCTCAAAAATTACTAACTTTTATTTCTTCTTCTTTACTAAACCAGAGTTAGGGGGTTTAATGTGTTTTTTTTTGTTTTTTTTTTTTTTAGTTACACCTTATTTGACTAAAACTATAAATGCATCCCTTGATATTTGTACATGAAGCACATTTTTTAAAATGGCATCAGATATTCCCATTAACTCACATTATAATTTTAGAAGTATCATCTTTATTATGAATTGATT